ATTCGGCGGGGAGTCACGCCCACCAATCACTTTTGGGGTGGTCCCCTATTAAACTTCATTGGCGTATGGGTGTTTCGTTGTGGTGGTTGGAACCACCAAAATGGCTTCGGCGTTCCTTTGGTCTCCATTCGAAAACCACAAAGATGGGTTTGTCGTGCTTTTCGCGGGTGCCAGATTTTTGAGCGGGAAACGACCGGAAACTGGCTGTTTGGAGGTTCCCCGATTTGGCGACCTACCCATAGTGTCTCTCGAAAAAGGGGTCCCTTTTTGGATGGTGGGGAACCAAAGGAGTACCACCTCAAAAGGCCCCTTTTGAGGAAAACCCATATCGGAAAGACCAGTTTCCTTCTGGTTTGCTACAACAGCACCTTGGTTCTGCTAAGATGGTTTACAGGTTTATACAGGCCTTTCTACATAACCATGCTGAACCAGCTGATAGAACCACTTACTAACTGCCTAAAGTGGCCAACGGGGTTTTGGGAGAGGGATGATGGGATGCTTTGATCCCACAATCTACTACCAACATACATGGAAGAGACCAGAGACCCCTCGGTGCCAATGTTCCTCTAAAGCGAGCCTGCGCACTTCCATGTTGGCAGGGGTATTGCTTACCTTTTCAACAATAAAGCAATATACCGCAAACTTAAGCATGTGCAAGTAGGCTTACATGTGTGTTCAGTTTTTAGGCACATAACATCAAATATGCAAAAAACAACCTTCCATCCCATCAAAAACCTGGATCTTTAGGACGTGGATCCCTAAAAAAAGAAGAAACACAACATCAGACCGTCTGTGAAATTCTTTCCCCCCTTCAAGCCATAAGCTGAGATCCCCCCAACAACCACGAGGCCTGAGGCATGGATCATCCAGCTGCCAGCAAAGCTAAGTTCTCACGAGCCGCGCACGAGTTCTTGCACGGACTTTTTGCAAAAACACATTTGATAACCACCCCATACGGAACACCCAACAATGACCCAACAAACGTACGTTTCCCTTTTGGTTCCGCTTACATGGAAAACCAACCAGAAGGGGACTCGCTAAATGACACGCCCGCCACCTGCTTGCGCCGAGAAGCTTCAGCTGACAGGAGATCGTCGTCTTGTTCACGTCCCAAATCTTGCCTCAGAAGGATGGCACGCCATCGTTGCAACCGTGGTCCACCCGCTGGACATTTGGCTGTGGCTCAAAAAACTGGTACCCAAAATGGGTTGCCCTGGTAAGTGGAAACATGGACCAAAACCTGCGTAACCCCTCCTGTTTAATTTTGAGCCATACCCCATTTCTAGTTGAACCTCCCAGTGGATCCACAAAGGAAGCTCCCAGTGATGATCCAAAAACAACTGAAACAAGGAACCTCCCAGTAACGATCCGAATTGGAACCTCCCGGTATAATGGATGCTAGAATCGCAAGCGGTTTTACTCCGGGATCGGTGAGCCGAACTCATTTGCTTGGAAGGCATGCACACCAAACGTTTTCCATCCAGCTGATGCCTTCGGGGGTCGAACCTAGGGTCCTTTTCGATGCTTCTCTCATCTTTCTAGCTCCGACAAAATCGTGAAGCCACACCAGCCACGAGTTTCTGGTGGGTCCAAAACAGGGTAACCCAAAAATGGGTTGCCCTGGTAAATGAAAGCATGGACGAACACCAAAAAGGTCCTTTTTTCTGTTGGCTTGATTTGACCCATGCTATGGTTTGTCCATCCTATTTGTGGGTAAACGAGGCAGTGCTCCGCGAACGGCACTGCGTCATGGCGTGTGGCTGTCCTTCCAAGGTGCATGGCCGCTCTCCGAACATTACTTGGACCTGGCGTGAAGCTCATTCGCATCACTTGCTTGAGGCAGTTGTCAGTGGCAGGAAAAAAGACAGGAAAGAGGTGCCGTTGAGATCCAAATGCCTGCACACACAACCATATTGATGAGGAGACTTGTGCCCAAACAAGCTTTCAGCCAAGCTTGTTTATCCAGCAACAAGTCAACACGCGCATCAATCCGTTGACCGGCCCTTTTGGGTGTTTCCCAAAATTAAGGACGCCTTCAGGTGGTTGGTTTCCTTTTGGTTTCACCTCAAAACCATCCAACCAGACTTTAACCATCCAAAGGATCCCGATTTTAGGAAACACCCAGTTGGCATCCTTTTAGCTCCTTTTTGCACTCAGGGCTTGTTCAGCGGAGATGGGCGGCCATCGTACTCCAGGTGGCTCCACTGTGAGAACTGAGCCTGGCGCAAAAACAAGCCGAGCCGAGGGCTGTGGTCGTAGCTATGGTCCAAATCTTTCTGGGGAAGGTCATCCCTGGGGCTCAGTTTCCACCAACCATTGTTTGACTAAGGATTGTCATCATCCAAATTGTGTCAACCTTTCTTTTAATGGGGGGGGTAAACCCTAGGGTCATGGCTTGCCAAAAACAAAGATACCGACCTTCCCCCATTTTTTCCAGGGCAGAGTCCAGGTAGATCGCCAGCAAAGCAGTGGCTTCCTATGCCTGGCAACCAACCAACCAACCAACGGGGTTAAGCCCCAAGCGAGTTAGTCAAAAACAAGAAACCAAAACGGCTCCGTGAATTGCCATAAAAACGCGATCCTGTACAAGACTGTGCACGAGCCGTTGCGGTTTTTGCTTGAGTACGCAATCACGCCATGCGCGTACCCATCTGAACTCGAGACACGCCCGACACTCTGTCCCGGTTTGACCCTCGACCTTAAGCGTATGGGTATGGGTCAAAACCAATGGTACCATTTTGGGAGAGGTGAATTCACCACCCATTCTAGTCTACTTGAGTGGTTGGGTTGAATCGGATGTTCACTGGGGGATAACCGGGGTTTTGACACATGGCCATATAGGTGTGTCAAATGTTTCAGGGGCCCCCCAAACATGGATGTTTTTTGGTGTTGAAACTTGGCATCCCTTGCCACAGAAAAAGACGAACTTCTCGATGCGCCCCAGCCTTCCGCACGTCCACGCGCTCCCACATTTCTGGGAGCCTCGGAAAGGCAGCGCAAGAGCACTCGAGAGGCCCAGCCAACTCCACCGCTCGCCAGGAACACCAAACCCTCCGTGGAGAAAACGCGAGGGACATCCAACTCTTCTTTGCTGAGTGGATGGCCCAAAAAATGGTTCAAGCTTTATATTTACCACTAAACTGGTCTTCCCCAAAAGCTTAAAGTTCGTAAACTTGGGAAGTGAGCAATTCTTCTCTGCCTTGATATTCAAAGTCTGAGAGCCCTGCCTTGGGTCAGAAGCATCTGCAACACAAATGTCTTAGACCGTGGAACTTCAGAGTGCTCCTTCGCAAGAGTTCCTCTTGGTGCCCCGTAAACAGGATCCGAAAGGATCCAAAAGGGTTCTTCATGCGGAAACTCCCCAAAACAACCCTTCCGCTTTTGTATCACCCGCCGGTTTTTGGCCTTCATCACCGCGCTTGTTTCACTTCCTAGAGCTCATCATGATTTGCCGAGAATGGTTGTAAGATTTGTTTGATGGTAGCCTTTTTTGGACAAGAGGCAAGCCATCAATTGTTCATGGTCGCCAATTTTGAGACACACCCATTTTGGGGGACCCGCTCACCATGGTAAGGCTGAACACCAAAGCTAAGCATCTGCGCGGTGTGAAGACACTTTGTCCGGGAAAAAAAACGGTCGCCCACCAATGAGCGGTGGGGTAATTGAACTGTTGAATGGGTTCCAAGAAATGGGTGTATCTTTTTGAGGGAACCCCCAAAATGGTGGTTGGCTTCCCTTTAATGCCACCAAAGGTACTCGCAAAACAAAAAGACACGCCCAAATGGGTTCCTTTCGGATGTGGCCCTGGTGCAGGCAGTCGGAACCCTGTCCATTGAAAGCGCCGCAATAAAAAACACGGGTCCCCGGTCACAGGGGAAATCCTCCAAATCAGCTGGTAGCTGCGTGACGCTTTAACTGGCCCAAATGTATCCTTTAAGGAGCGCTGGTTGAGATCCTTTCAAACATGTGTCAACATGCGACACCCCAAATGCTGGCTTTCCTTTTGCTTTCCCCCAGAGCAACCTGAACAGCGAACCCTCAAACAAAAAAAACATGTATTGATCCCTGTCCCGATTTGTTCCGCCGTGCGGCAACTCCGCCAAGGGCTGCGGAGGCGGGACTGCTTTGGTCGCGTTGACATCGGAGCCTTCAGCAAATCGTTTGGCCGATGCAGTCGTTGGCCGATTTCTTGGCATAACGCCAGGGTACACCAAATGTGTTTCAACTCGGGAAAATAAGGCTGAGACTGGCTAGAGCAGGGCTGAACTGGGCTAAACATAGGCTGTCACTTGGTTTCTTCTTTGGGCCAAACTAGGGGGCCCTAGTCTTCCCGCTGGCTTTACGTTTGCTTTCGCTTGAAACCATACCAAACAAAAACAGCGGCTCCCTTTTAGAGAAACATCCATTTGCACGAGGGACAGTAGTCCAGTCGCCGAACATGCAGGTTGGAGTTGACCCAAAACCCGTACTGGAGGGTCCTTAAACCTTTGGTTCCAAACAAACTCGACTTGGTATGTTTCACCTATGATGAATCAACTGCTCCTGAGCAAAGCTAAACACATCACCGAACAAACTAAGAAAACTACGCCCCCAAATAAAGCCAATTTGTCTCTGTTCTCCCTGAGGTTCAGAGCTGGCCAGTAAAAATATTCACCGGCCCTAAGATCCCAAAAATACGCAGAGTCGAATCCAAGAAACCCAGTCCTCATGCAACGGGATTCCCCCAACTGTCAGCAAACCTCCGTGACATGAGCCTCATATACAGGGCTCTTGCAAGCCACCTGTTTTGTCATGATTGTAGGGGTAAACTACGAGTAATCATATTTTGACCCCTGATATTATGCTGGCGCAACATGACAACACTCGCATCCTACGACCTATCTGAGCCACGCTCAACAAGTGAAAGTTACACGTCATGGACATGGGAACATTGGTGTAGGTCCATTTTAGCGAAACACAACAGCGAGTCCCACATGGACCATGGACTTCAAGTTTTGACTTTACATGACAGCACCAGATTGAATCGCTGCCTTTGCATCCAAGTAGCTGAACCAACTCAGCAAATTCAAGCCGCCCTCTTTCACTTCAGGCGCCATGCTCACGTTGATGCCCGACGTAAACTTCCGTGCAAACATGAAGCCTGAGGCCAAAGGGGGGGGGGGGGGGGCGAGCGTGTCGAAATAGACGGACCCCCAGTGACCATGGGGAGAACAAGCACCCTTTTTTGTTTGTTGACTTTGAAGGAAAACACCCTCCGAAAAAAAGGGGGAAGCAAGAGCACCACCTTGTGTCCGCTTAAAAGAAGAAGCACGAGGAGACCAATCATTTAGGGGTTGCTCAAATAGTGGACCCCCTTGTGCGGTATCTAGAGAGACAACACCAGGACACCACCATTTTAGGGCGCCCATATTATGAGAAAGCCCAATTTTTCGAGGGGTTTGCAAAAGCTTCTGAGATAGAGTTTCAGCTGGAGGGGTTTGTGTGTTGGTTACCCTCCCTTCCACTAACACACCCGTTGAAGGGTACCTGGAAGATCATTTTCCTCCTGCAATTAGGGACCATTTTCCCATCAGGTGCCATGATAGTGGGAGGGAGGGTACCTAAACTTTTTCTTTTGTTTCCCTTTGACACCATTCCAAAAGGGGGGGTGTTTTCTCCTCATTTTGTCTCACTCGCATCGTGCACCCCGCGTTCTGGTGCCCTGCCTTGCTCCACCATGGTCTGCAGGTAGGTGTGTGTGACGCTGTCGAAGAAGTGCGGGAAGCCGTTGAGCTCACCTTCCGCAACACACATCTCCCTGGTTCTCTGGGATTCCCTGGCCACCGGGAAAGACACGATGATTCATATAACCACCCTTGTGTACCTTGAAGCCTGAGTGACGGCAATATTCATGGAATGCAAACCATTGCCAGAGGCGGCTGGCACACATGGATCCATCCGCTCCCGGCCAAAAATGCACGCAAACACTGGACGCAGCTAGCCAAAGTGGCCTATCCTGTTCTTGCCACAATGCAGGCATTGCGCCACACCGCATGAGTGTTTCTAAAATCGAAGAGACGCTTTGAGGGAAGGGATAGGAGAAGCAAGACCGCCAAGCATCTGCGGAGGTGCAACACATATTCGAGAATTCGAGCTGCGAGCGAGCTGCGCTTCAATCCCGACTTCATGAAGTCAAACTCGGAGGGGCTTGTGATGAGGCCGCCGACCTCCCCCAAATTGCGCCACAGCGCCCCCATGTCCTCCGAAACGAGCTCACGAGCATCGGCGTCGGGTCGTCTCATGCATGGCCGAAGCTTTTACATGAGCTGGACACCACTGGTTTTTGTGGGAAACCTGGTGAGTCTCGCGTGTCGCTCCCAAAGTGACCAGAGAACTGGACGTTTGACGGAGATCTTGCTGAGCAGCTTAGGAGCATTCACTGAAGTGGTCGAGCCTGAGCCTTGCAAGTCTCTGGTCATGATGGGCGTGCCAAATTGTTGATACGTGCGTTTGCTCAGTGAGTAGCTACCCACCTCTTGTGTCAAACCCAAGCTCCTTTGTGCCTGGCAAGCTGATGATCTCGGTCTCAATATTGGATTTACGCTTGTGCCTCCCCCCCCCCCCAGCCCCTCGCATCAGGCGTGACATCGCGGCAACACTTTCCAGGCGCGCTCTCTCCGACTTCAGAAACATCAAGGCATCCCTCCATATTCCCTTCGGCTTTCAATTGACCAGTACCATTCTTCCACGTGTTTCAAAGTACGGTGGTCATCACATGGAATTCCCTTTTTGGTGAGGGAACTCCCAACATGGGACGTCCAAATGTATCCATGCGGCCAAAGTCGGTATCTTTTTCCCTGGTCATCCCATCTCAACCTGGACTTTCTTGGCGGTTTCCCAAAATGGGACGTCCAAATGTATCCATGCGGCAAAAAGTCCGTATCTTTTCCCCTGGTCATCCCATATATGGCCATGGGTCAAAAGCCCGTACCCCCCAGTGAACATCCCAATCCCCACTAAAATCGGTTCTAAAATGGGTGGTGAATTCACCTACCAACCAAAATGGGATTCCATTGGTTTTGACAACCACAGCCATATATCAATAGACCTGCGGTTGCCCACATCTCTCTCTCCTCTGTGAAGTGGCTGGCCAGGTCCAGCTGCGTGCCGGTGAAGCCTGCGATCTGTCCCAACGAAAGCACCAGACACGTCCTAAGAGGAAATCCATCTTCCAGCCATGTTAGTGGAAGGGAGGGTATCCATCCCATCTCTGGGGATGTTCTTTTTTTTTGGGGGGGGGGCTTGGCTTGGGCTGTGAAGTTTGCTGGTACGACATCGGTGGATGTGGGCATGAACCCAGGCTTTGGTTTATTTGGAAAATCCATTCATGGCGGCCTGCTTTACTTTGTGGTTGGACTGGACAAAGGGAACTGGCAAGAAGGCAAGTCGCCCCAACCTTTTCGCATTAGCTTCGCTGCTTTTGCCAGGTTTCGAGTGTTCAACTTTGCTTTGCATGTTTCATCTAGCATCATCTAGCAAGCCACCCAGGTGTCAGGTCTCGAGCTTCCCTTAAAAGACACCTCAAGTGTTTGCTTTCCTTGCTGGTGCGACAAACAGGGACTGAGAAATGGAATGACCCCTATAAACCATCCTTGTGGTTTCCTTTCCTCGCAACATGTCCCAACTTTGATTAGCAGCCCAAGTGCCCTCCCCAAGAATGTGCTCAGTCGGCCGTGCGTGTCTCAAAAGCCCTGCCAATGTCCAACGAGGTATTCTGTTGCCCTATGCTCTTCCCCAGGGACCGAGTCCAACAAACTGTTCGTCGGTCCACACGTCCACCATGATGTTCTATCCTGGGCGCTTCGAAAATCAAACCAAAAGCAGCGCACAGAGGTGCCGACTCTGATAAAGACAAGCCCAAATGTGGGTCAAATGACCTCGGTTTCTTGGTGGGCCCAACAAGAGCATCAACTTTAACAACTCCAACCCCCCCAGAAGCAACCCCAAAAACAAAACACAAAACAACACCAAACAACTCAACCCCCACAATCCGCCACAAAGCAATCCCCCCACAAAAACACACAAACAAACAAGAGTACCTCCCTTCAAACAACCCCCCAAAGGAGTACCTGCACAGTCCACCGCCCAACTTTTGATGCGAAACCAGGCCCTAAACATTTGTGGCATCACGTTTCCCACAGGCTCCGGAACCAACGTCTCCAAAAGCTGCCTGCGCGCCCCCAAAGTCGCGCTCCGGACATCCGGACATCCGGACATCCAGGCTTCTGGGAGTCCGGGCAGTTCCGCCAGCGCACAAAGGTCAGGCAGTTTTGCTCCACCCCCAGGCGAGTTAGATCCAGCCAGGTGTTGCCGCTGCTTCGGTTCCTCGCACCAAAAGCTCGCCAACAAGGCAAGCCAATCGCAAGCAGCGGAGTTTCAAGTGGTTTGGTTCGCTGAAGCTGTTGGAAGCTGTTTCTTTTTTTCCGCTTCACTCCGGTTTCCTCTTGGCTCAAGGAAACCAGCCATCCTTATGCAGCGGCTGATTGCTTTGGGGATATGGCCATGGGTCAAAACCCCGTACCCCCAGTGAACATCCCAATCCCCACCAAAATCGGTTCTAAAATGGGTGGTGCATTCACCTACCAACCAAAATGGGATCCCATTGGTTTTGAACCATGGCCATATGGACCCCAAAGGGCCGAACTCATCCAATGCTGGCTTCGGGGTCGCTGGTGCTGTTGCACCAGGTTTCAAGAAAGATGTCGCCCAATACCAAGGTTCCACGTGGGAGACACTTCCACAATTTTGTCCAACCCTTTGCCTGGTGCTATTCCAAGCATGGAGCTCAATTGTAGCCTCTGGGATTTGGCATGAACAGGTGACAACTCCCAACATGTCGGCTGCGACAAGATCCTTTGGATGGTCTACAAAACCCTGAAGGGTCGATGACCATCCCTGCCAAGCCGAAATCAAAGGGTGGTTTTGAGCATGACATAGCTGGCGGATTTGGTGAAGAGTTTAACTCAGGCATCTAAAGCTGGAAGGCGGTATGAAAGCCGTCAGACAAAATCTGGCTTCTCGCCGAAGCTGATGACAATCCCACATTCTGTGACCCCCATACCAACTTTTCAGGTGGCCTCCCTCGATGGTATCACAAACAGCGCCCTCCAACACAATTTTTCCACGCCTATCTGGGTAGGTCTTAAAAACCATGAGGAATCAAAAGTGGAAGTGGTGGTACCCCAAGCAGCAACCCGGGCGCTCAGGTCCGTTTTCAGATCCCCCGCAAAAAGTGACGAACTTCTAGTGGGCGAAATTCGGAAACGCCCACCAAACCAACGAAAAAAACTACTAAACCACTAGACCCCATAGCCCACTACCACTAAAAAGATCTAAAAAACTGAAAAGATCAAAAAAGATCTAAAAGATTTCAAAAGCTAAGGAACCGGATGGCCTTTGGAAGCCACGGCTGCCAAGACTCTCCGCGTCCATCGAATGGAGCAGCGCAATCACTGGCACTGCCTCGTCACTGCAGCCGTCTGCCATGTTCACATCCGGCGACGCCTCAAAAGCTTCTCGGGTTTCCACTACCCCCAACCACTCAACTCACTCTGAGGGGTTTTGTATTACGCCCTGGGTTTTACCCTTGGGAAATGACCCAGAATGGTTCAAAATAACACGGTGTTATACGGACATGTGCCTAAATGGGGTCAATACCCAGTGGGTGTATTCCCAGGGTGTAACGCAAACACCCTCAGACTTACCCATCCCCCAAGAAAAAAGTAGGGCTATACAACCCTCAAATGGGTAGGTGAAATAAGGAGCCAGTCTGCCTCATGGTCTCTCTCTAAATCTACCTAAAAAGGGTATCACCTCCAAAAAATCTCACATCCAACAGCATATTATTCCAATCGAACCTGCTCAGGTGATTACCTTTGATTCACATTGGGCATCAATCCCCATGTGATGTGTGTCCACAGGATTTTTTGGGGTCCGCTAATATGGTTTCAAAACGGGGTGACCCCATGGGCAGTTGTCCTTTGTCTTCAAACCACCCAACAAGGGGTTTCCCAACTCCCAAAAAGGAGCCACCCCATGCCAAGACTCCATGTGGGTCAAATTATTTGCTTGGGGGACCCCCTAAAGTCTTCTTGGCTTTCCCTTTATAAGCAGCCGAACAAGCGGACCCTCGAAACATGAAAGGTACCCCCTGGGAGGTTGAGCTTCTGCACGAATGAATTTCAAATGATCGCCTTGAACCAAAACATCGGAGCCTCCCAGGAGGTACCACACAAACAAACAAACCAACCAACCAACCAACCGAACCAAACAAACAAACAAACCAACCAACCAACCAAACCAACCAACCAAACAAACAAACAAACCAAACCAATCAAACAAACACACCAAAAAAAGAAAACAAAAAACAAACAAACACACACACAAACAAACAAACAAACAAACCAACCAAACCAACCAAACCAAACCAAGCAAACAAACAAACAAACAAAAAACAAACAAACAAACAAACGAACAACACACAACAATGGGGAGGGGTGTTTCTCCCTGTAGAACCGGCCATACACCCCCCCCAACAAAATAAACTCAGGCGATATCCCCAACAGCACCACCGCCGGTGTTGCTGAGGATGCCGCCTTGTAATTTCTATAAAGCAAAGCTAAGAGTGACAGCGCAATCGCGCCCTGATCGGGGCCCGACGGCGCAATCGGGGCCCGATCGGGGCCCGACGGTGCAATCGGGGCCCGATCGGGGCCCGATGGTCCCATGGTGCAACCCCAGCCATATTATAGCTCAACGCCGGTTTTCGTTAGGATGCGGCCTTGCAACTGTATCTAGCAAAACTAGGCGATGCCAGCTTGGTACAGTTGACGGGGCCCGACTGAGTCGGGCCCCGATCGGGGCGCGATGCCGATCAGGCCCCGGCGGTGCAATCGGGCCCCGACGGTGCAATCGGGCCCCGACCTGGGCCCGGTGAACCTCGTGGAACCCTCGCGGAACTCAGCGTCAAACTTTGTTGGAACCTTTCCTCAGGGTTGCCCCCTAGCTTTTTGCAGAACCTGGTGAAAACCTAGTGGAGCGTTTTTGGAACCTTACCCCATAGCCCTTGCAGCCTCGTGGAATTCTTGAAACCCAAAGCCCACCAAGTAATACTCAGCAATGCCAAGCATTTACTCTGCTGCACCGTGAGTCCCGCAGCAACGTGATCTGATTTGCCACAAAGCCAACATTTCGGGCCGCGTTGCCTGAGAAAGTGAGCAAGTGACAAAACAGTGAACGTGTGCTAAAAACCATTGATTTCGTTTTTGCTTAGTGTTCCGCCCATGAGCAAAGCGATATTCTGAGCCCTCAAAAATCGACACACTGCTTCCCTCCATAGCAAACCACACAACCTTGCAGAACATTTCTATTGTGGAACCTTGTGGAGCCTTGTGGAACCCTTGTGGAATCCTTGCGGAATTCTGTGGAACTTTGTGAAACCTGAGGGCACCATCCTGCAGCCCTTGCAGAACCTCGTGGAACCCTGAAACCCTCCATGGAGCCTTACCTCAAACCATCCCCGATGAGATCGCCATTGTGGAAAATCACGAAAAAGATGATAATTTCCACAACTAGATGGGACAAGTTCCCCATGGTCAAAAAACTGGGGGCCCTAAACAATTGATCCACCTCGTCCATGTCCCACTTCGCCCGCGCGCGCCCGCGCGAGCCTTGGTCCAGACCTCCTCATAGATGTCCAGGGCCCGGTCCGCGTACTTGACGATGGAGGCCGCGTGCTTTCGCGCGAAGACCGCCCACTGGTGGTGCTTCAACGTTCGCGGGTTCAGGCCGCCTTGGTGGAGCGTCTACCTGCAAAAGGAGGCGGGGACCCTTGGATGGCTTCAAGGAGAAACCCAGAGGCAACTATCCATTTACAGGGTTCCCCTTGAGACAAAGCCATCTGGAGCACTCCAAAAGCTCCCGAAATTGTGGGGTGTGCCATGTTCGGTGGACCTAGACAAGTACCTGATTTTTTTCTGTGACCCCAAAACAGTGGGTATGTGGCTTTTAAACCTCGGGAGCTAGCCTTGGAGCCATGAACCCATCTTGGGGATGAGCAATGCTCATTGCCCGAATTACCCTGAAACATGTTGTTTGACGATGGGACCGTTTTTCTGGTTGCACCTTCGCCGTTCTCGCAGAAAGCTTCTCGGAAACCAGCCAAATAGAACCATGGAAAGGGATGTGGCAGGGGGTTCAGGGGGTTCACGGGGGTCAGGGGGGTCAGAGGGGTTGAAGAAAGCCTAGCGGATCAACAGTAGAAGCGGGAAGATAGACCTGAGTGGCCAATGCCTTGGCCCTGGAACGCTTACCTCCATGTGCTTAAGTCCCCCGGGAAAAAATAAAACATAGTTCCAGTAGTGATAGATTCCCTGCAAAACCAACAGGGGAGAATAAAAATACTCTTAACCAAATGGAAGCTTAGTGCTTTGTTGATCTCCTGCCTAAGTTGTCGGACTTTACCAGGAAATGTGTCAAACAAATACCTCTGATCGCGAAATATATGTACAAGCCCGGGGAAAGCATCGCGGATCCGAGGCTTCTCGACCGAATAGGTAAGCAGAATGGCTTGCTTGGACTTTGGCTAAACCTGTATGTGAGCTTAACAGGAGGTGATTGAAAGTGATTGAAAGGCCTGACATGCGAGAATGGACCAACGTGAGGCTGGAATATCACGTACTTGGAGTGAAGTGGGATTTTCGCGAACATCAGTGACGTGAGTCGTGCAACTTATGCCAATAAGAAGCACATGCAGCGGCGCCGTGGAAAAGCCACAACAGGGTTTCCAAAATGTGGGGCTCCGTATGGGGCGGTTTCCATGCGTCGTCCCTCAAACACCAAAAGTTGGGGCACTCCCACCATTTTGAGAAACTCCCATTTTTTGGTTTCCTTGCGCTTCTCAACTAGGTCCTCCAGTAGAGAGTACCCTTTTCTTCTGCAGTCTATTCTGGTAGGGAACCCTCCCAACCAACAAAGAAACGGTAAACGGGCGCTGGGGGACCTAGTCAATAAAAAGCCAAGACAGTCAGTGCCCCTGGTGGTCAGCTTTTTGTTTGGTTCCCGAGTCCTTTTGGCCCAATCTTTCCGTTCTCTGCCGGGAGGCGCAGGAAGTCACGGAAGACGCAGCTCTTCTTGGCTTCCTGGGGGCGCACGGGCGAAAACCCGGAAACCCGAAGCTTCGAGGCAAAATACTCAACTCAGCAATGGATTCCTACACATCCATGCACTTTGTAAAAAAAACCTCCAACCATCCCATGCGGGCCATTTCCTTTTGGACCACGTCCCTTTTTGGAGTTCCTTCTGTTGGAACGGACCAAGGCACCGAGCGGGTGGTCCTTTTCCCGGAAAGGAAAACGCGCAGGCGCGCGCCTGCTTCGCGAGCTCCAGCGACACGAAGGGGTTGGAGGCTTGCGTGGCCAAACACACCTTGCCTCGGCTCAGCAAGGCCGGAGGACGTTTGGTTCTTGTTTCCTTTCCCGGTGGATCCATGAGCCCTGTAAAGGAACCAAGAGAACTATACCTATTGAAAAACTTCCAGTGGATCCATGAGCCCTGGGTTAGTAACCAAGAGAACTCTACCTATGCAAAAAAGGACTTCCAGTCAAAGGTTGGGGACGTTGTTTCTTAAGAACCCGAACAGCTGAAAGCTACAGGGGGCTCAGCCCAAATAAGGTTTGGGGGTTGAAGGAAGGTTGCGGAGGTTCCGCGTGGTCTGGCGCAGGCCAGGTGTAAGGTTCAAGGCAGGTTCCGGAGGTGGTGGCCAGGTGTAAGGCGCGGAGGCTTCGGGTGGTCTGGTGTTAAGGTTCAAGTAGTTCCAGAGGTCCGGGGGCGTGGAAAGTTCAAGAAGGTTTTGGGGTGGTCTTGAAAGGAAGGTTCCCGGAGTTCCGTTCTGGGTGCGGTTCAATCAAGGCTCAAGGAAGGTTCCGGAGGTTCTGGTCTAATCTGGTGCGAGCCAGGTGTAAGGTTCAAGGAAGGTTCCGCAATTTCGGATAAGGTTCAAGCAATGGTTCGGCAGGGTTCCGCGAGGGTAGATGAGGTAAGTTTTCACAGAGTTCCTCGAGGTTCTGAGGTTCTGAGGTTCCGCAAGGTTCTGTGAGGGTCGAAAAACAGCGCCGTATGCTGTTGGTAATATCACCTGAGCTTATTG